AAGCATTATAAATTGGTATCTAAATTTGAAGTAAAGTTAAAATATTGGGGAACGTATTGTTTAAATTTTTATCTAATTTATATTTTTCAGACTCCTCCGGGCCCCTGAGCACCCGCCCCAAGCGCCCAGCGGATAAACCGGGACTGAGTGAGAGAGGAATAAAAACGCGGAGAGGGAAATATAGGCATCATGCAGCTGCACATATTAAACTTTATCGACTGATTTTTGTTATTTGGTCTTGCGGAAATCGTCAGATTATACATTGTGTCCCAGATTAATGCTACATGTATTGCTATCTCGGTTATTATAAGAGCTACAAAATCGTTTAAATGTTTCTCCGTATTATATTACCATTTCAGAACTGCTATTACATTTTAACAGTTATTTTTGGTTTTTGAATAAATCACGAAAAACCAAAACGGTGGGTTTTTGACAGTCCCCCGTATCTAGATTATTTAAAAACATACAGTATTTTCGTCTAGATATTCTATGGACACTTTCTTAAAGTCTTTACAAATAAAAATAAAACATAAGAATTTCTCCTTCCGTTTTCGAGATATTGACTATAACTTTATTTTTTCTTATGGACGCCATATTAGATTTTTATTGCATTAAATAGAATTATTAATTTCTTTTTTAAACATGTGCCACAACATGGTACTTTCTTATAAATGAATCCTGAAATAAATAAATCTTAAAATTTCCTAATTAATTTTGCTGCTCTGCTCAATTTGGTCTAGTAGGCGAGCCAAAAATATGTTTTAAAACTGTCAAATTATAGTTGGTTTAACCATTTTCAATTCGTCAATTGTTTTTTTTTTTTTTTTTTTTGTTAAATTTAATTTCCGTTACGTTGTTATTATTTTCAAATATCGCTCTTAAGTATACCAGTGAAGAAAAATTAGACATATTAGAAATTTACTTCGTAGCCCACAGAAACTCTACAGCAGCTACGGAAATTTATAAAAGTAAATTTCCTGAACCGCATCAACGAAACGCAAGGCATTTAAGGGAACTGGTATTAAATTTGCTAATTTATGGAAGTTTTGAAAAACCCAGAAATCATAAATATGCTATTGAAAATGAGGAGAGAATTAATACTGTATTACAATACACTAATAATAATTTCACAGCATCGGTTAGAAAAATTGGTAGTGAAACTGATATTCCTAAGTCATTCTCTCATCTATTACTGGACGTTAATAAACATAATCCATACAAACCTAGGATTAGGTTTATGGCAAATGATTTTTTACGAAGAGTAAGATTTTGTGTATGGTACATGTGCAAGAAAATGCCAATTTTCCATTAACATATTATGGACTGATGAAACTTGATTTACCAATTGCGGAGTATTCAACAGACATAATACCCATAACTGAGCTATAGAAAACCCAAAACTCACCTCACAAAAAATATTCTAAACAAAATTTGGATTTAATGTTTGGTGAGGCATAATAGGCAAGTACAAAATTATATTTACGTTTAAATGTGAAATTATTGAAATTCTTACTTTCAGGAAATCAATTAATTGGACTAATAATTTTTAATTTTATTTAAATGCAGCACGATATCTTCTGCTCTTACAAGAACAAATAATGCCCGCTGTGAAGGCATCTGTGGGGAACTTGGATCAAAAAATTATTTAAAAGAAAACTTCCCTAATAGATTAATTGCGAATAATGGCTAGATCCCCTAATATAAATCCCCTTAAATTCTTCTTATGGGGACACATTAAAAACGAAACTTACTCATTTGAAGCTCCAGAAACTCTATGGGTGTAGTGAATAGAAACACATTATTAAGGGCATTAAACTCTCTGAAAAATCGTTGTCAAATGTGTTGTGATCAAAATAAAACAATTTCATTAAATTAGACAGTTTACATCTGAAGCTTGTATTGTAAATTATCCCAAAAATTATCGCAAAATTCTTGTTTTTATATGGTTTTTATAAAGTTCAAATTAAACCGACTATCATCTGACAGTTCTAAAACATATTGTTGTCTCGCCTACTAGACCAAATTGAGCAGAGCACCAAAATTAAATAGGAAATTTTCAGATTTGTTTATTTTAGCATTCATTCGAAAGAAAGTACCATGTTGCGATACATTTTTAAAAAGGGAATTAACAATTCTCTTTAATGCAATGAAAATCCAATATGGCGTCCATAAGAAAAAACAAAGTTATAGTCAATATCTCAAAAACGGAAAAAGATATTCTTTGTTCTGTTTTTTGTTGTAAAGACCTTAAAAAAGTGTCCGTAGAATGTCTAGACGAAAATACTGCATGTTTTCAAATAATCTAGATACGGGGACTGTCAAAAACCCACCATTTTGGTTTTACGCGATTTATTCAAAAATCAAAAATTACTGACAAAATGTAATAGCAGTTCTGATATGGTATTAGAATCTTGAGAAACATTGCCCATTTAACCGATCTTGTAGCTCTTATAATAACGGAGATAGCAATACATGCAGCACCAATTTGGGACATAGTGTATATTTTTCATTATTCTTGAATTATTTCCTGCGAAACAAAAAAAATAGGCTACGCTCGAGAATGTCAAGATGACGTTTTTGCTGTCCTCCCCTTCCTTTACGTCACTCTTAAATTGTCAGATTAGTGAAATATATACTTTATAGCATGTAATTAACTCACCCTATCTTAATCTGACGCGCTCGAAAATTTCTGATGATCAATTTTTTTTTACTAATCTGATCCTTTATCCTTCACGGGCGGCTTTATATTTGGCTCATATTTAGTGGAGGTACTTAACCGGGTACAAGGTATCCCCCTGTATATTAATCTGCCACGCTTTAGTAAATCCCGAAATCCCCGCTTGGGCTCCCCTATTATAAGATTTATAGGTATTTTTAATAATAATAACTGTCTAGCCTCAACTCTCATAGCACCCCAACTAACAAAGTAGCTTTATAATTTTTAGTTTATAAGACTATCATATTTTATTGATATTATATTGCTGTGTCTGGAATGCTAATTTATTGTATTTCAGTTGCAGAAATCGCTATTTTGTTTTCTGAAACTAAATTGTTATATAAATTAGTTTTTACAATATTCTTACAGCAAAATTATAAAATAGTTTTCACGATAACTATAAAATTGTTACGTAAACATTTATACAACTGTTCTATACAATATTTCAGCTTATAAAATAAAATTGCTTTATAGTTATTCTATATTATCGTTCTGGATTACCTTTAGAACTTTTTGGTTATACAAATATAACTGTTTCTTAACCTCATAATAACGCTTTAAAAAATAGTTATATAAATATTAGTGTGAGATAATTCCGCATCTATAGCAATTTGCTTCTGATGAAAACTCTAAAATAACTGTAATATATTGTCGAAATACACTATTACAAATCAGAAAACTGTATAGCAATTATTTTAGTTAAGAATAGTATTATCACTTTAAAAATATTTATAAAAAAAATAAAGCAACTACATTTGGTAGTACCTACGCCAGATTATTTTATATTTTATGTTTGTTCAACTACTTCCCATACCAATTGTATGTGAGTGTATGGTCTGAAAATGTCAGATATAAATAGTAAAGAAATATAAAAAATAAGTGGTACCTGCTTTTCAGAGAACAGTAAAAAATATTAGTAAAACATTTTGCTGGTTTGTCTAGACACTCAAAAAAAAACTATCATTCAGCCAGATAATAATTAGGTATGTTCTGAATAATCATGCCCCAATACTAAAAGAAAGCCATATTTTTGGCGATGTCCATGTTAAACTTGCTTATTCTCGTAATATTAAAAATTATGCTTGCTCTATAAAGCTGTAGAAACAAATCTAATCATTTCAATTCTCAAATACTTAAATCGGAAATGATTTAGTAAGGTTATGTTATATTTTGTCATATAGTGCAGCAATATGAAACTATTATACAACAAACCATGATGAACTTGTTTTGTAGAAATGAGTAATACAACTTAATTATTGTATTACAGCTGTTTTTACTACAATAATATTTTATAATTATGATTCAGTCTTAAAATAACTTTCTAATACCTCTGAATAGCCGCCATATTTACCAAAAACCTAAGACAGTTTTAAAGCTAAATCTACTGTCGGTTTTACTAGTATTTAAGACAAAACCAATGTTAATTAAAGATTTTAATCATTAGTAATATTAGCATAATCTTATTACTAAAAAAAAATCCAATTGCATTAATTTAATTTTTGTTTCACACTGAAAAAGTATTAGAAATATGAATCAAACTCGAGGCGCTTAAAAATTTAGTTTTGTATTTGCTATATAATTAACAGTAATTCTTGCTGCGTATCCAAAAACGCTTTATTGTAGGTCATACATTATGTCTAAACCGCGTCATAGATATCTCTTAAGTAGATACTGCCATTTTACTAATATCGCCTTGAATTTACTTTCATGACAAATATAGAATTAATTTGTTTTCACCAGATACATTTAAAAAACTAAAATGTTACTGATTTTGATATGCAACCTAACCTCAAAATTGAAAATTTATTAAAACAGTTACAAACGTTTAAAAAAACATTTGTTTAAAGTCTGTGTAAATGTGTAGTAACTGTTCGGTAACTGCATTCAACAAATCTTATAGAATTTACAAAAGAACCAAATAGTTCTGTAATACTGCACCCATTTTGTGTTTATTACTGTTGAAAGAATGTTCCGGAAATGTTCAAAGCTAATATTCTATTTTATGAATTTGGTTCTGTAAACATTTTTTCAGCTTTTATAAAATATCAAATTGTTACTTGGGACATTGTATTTAATAAATATTCTGATTCTGATTAATTTAGCAAAAACGTGTTAAATCGCGACTGGTAAATACACACGAAGTTTTGTATACTATCAGATCGTAAGCCCAATCTTGATTGATAAATCTCGCTCGAGTCGAGAATTTCTCTCAGCGCTGGAAGCAGCTAGATTAAATCCGAGTCTGGCAGTAGCTTCACTATGTGAATTTCCTACAAAGGATTACCTGTTTTTCTTTTTTTTTTCTCTCCATCGGCGTTAAATAAATACGTTCGTGTTCCAGTTCGAGGTTAGCTCTAATGTCAGCATGTGGGCGATTCTCGATTGACAATCCTAAGTGATTAGAAAGCTCGAGAGAAACCGTACAATTAGAATAATTGCGTATTCCAGTTCGGAGAAGGGAATCAACAACTTTAGAAACAAATGTTCCAGTTTGTCATTATGGTAAATTGCAGATTCAAAAAGAAACCAATTATACTGTTAAATCCCTCGCAATGGAAGATACATTTACAGAAATGTTCAACTAAGTAATAATAAATAAGCAAACTGGGAGTAATGTACACACTAATAGTGTGTAAAAAATGAAATAATTTATTTAAAATTGGGCTGAGCGCTGTCGGCTTACAAAGCCATCATCAAAGCCATCCTTAAAGGCGTTACAAATTAACAATTAAAATATTAATAAATTTTAAATACTAATTTGAAAGTGAATGAAAACAATAAATTGAGATTGGTAAAGGGATCGAACCTACGTAAAACCCTTGATGAGATATAGCATTAATAATGTAATACTATAAATTATTTAAAACATTGTCTGTAACGACGCAATAGGTGACAAGCATACACCACAGATATGGATTAAAAGAGATATGAAAGAGACTCACGCGCCTGCGTATTGTTTGCGTATCGAAGTGTACAGGATATAAATGGCGCATTCAAACACAATTCGAAAATATTAAGTTTTTAGTTACACACTAGAACTAATAACCTTAAAAATTCGTAATAAAATTTTATAATTTTTCATTTTTGTGGATTTTAAATAAAGAACATCAAAATCTTGTTTGCCACTTCATTTACAATTCAGTAAAAACTTAAAGAGTTAAAATAACATTTCATATGAAATGTGACGAAAAAAATGACAATTTTATAATAAAAAAAATATTCTAAAATATTTACTTTTACTTATGTGTATACAGGGTGTCTCGAAATTAGACGGTCATATTTTAACAGCGTAATCTACATCCTAAAATAGGAGTAAAAGTTTATATAAACAAAGGTCCGAAAACGTTTCTTTTTCGAGATACAGGGTGTTAAAAGTGAAGTCCTGATGACACATTTTTCTAAATATTTTCTAAACGCTCAAAGATAACTAAATAAAATTTGATACAAATGATTACCTTTTTACGATCTATGTAACGGACTAAATTTTAGTTTTTGATCATCTTCATAGATGGGTAAATTAGGGGGGAGCTTAAGGTAAAATTGCCCTAAGTTTTTTTGTTGTCAGTTTTTAACATTTTTGACTAAAAAATTTGGAAACCGAATGTTTTTTTTACAATAAAGCTACTTCTGCTGCATCTCGCTAGGACGCACCATTTTCAAGAAAAACGCATTTGAAAATTTCACGATAAATTCATATTATCTTATTCGAAAGTGCAAACAAAAATTAGTAGGCCTGGAATCCAATAGCTGCTTTTCAATTTTTTGAGACGCTGTGATAAACAAAAATTGGCTGTCAATTGTGCAATTATTTGTACTTTTTTTGCGTGAAAGAAAATACTTCTAATAAATGGAGAGATTTTTAAGTAGGGAATTGGCAGATATTCATTTTGTATATGGTTTGTGTAATGGAAGGGCAAGAGCAGCGGTTCGAGCATACCGTAGACGGTTTCCTAACCGAAGATTTCCCTGACTACCGTGTATTTATTAATACACATAGAAATTTGGTTGACCATGGTTCATTTCAACGTGATCGTGGACAAGGGAGACCACATGGGAACAACAATTTAGAACACTCACTTAATTTATTTGAAGAGGACCCAAGAAGGAGTATTCGAACTGTTTCCACCCTTTCAGAAATACCACAAGCAATAGCAAGTAATAATAACTTCCCTTTTTATTTATACTATTTTGTGATTCTTAGTTTTTATTGCTCAAATTTACAAGTACGAGTATTAGAAATTAAAAATTTAAACAAACCGACTTTAAAAACGTGCAGATGCCATCACCACATCTTAACCAAATTCATATGGGACTTCCCCAGAGGTATCCCCTTACTAACAAAAAAAATAATCATTATAAATCGGACAAGGTGGAGCATTATCGCTAAACATACATAAAAAATGAAGAGTTTGGACCCAATTATTAGATTTTGACCAAATTTTATATGGGAACACTCCTGTAGTACCTTTCTATAAAAAAAAATCATTGAAATCGGACACCGTGTTAAAGAATTATCGCTGAATATACATAAAAAAATATCGCGACGAATTGAGAACCTCCTCCTTTTTTGAAGTCGGTTAAAAATAACACAAACAAGTTTTAGATTAAAGGCATTTTTAAATTCTTACTTTAGTTTACGTGTCTTTTAAAAATATGTTCATTTAGGTTGGAAGAATGTTAAGAATGCAGGGTATTCATCCCTATCATTATCGGCGTGTTCAAGCCTTAATACCCCACGACTTTTTACCACGAATGGAGTTTAGTGAATGGATAAGAAATCATCAGTGTTTTTAATATTCACAATCACCATTTTTATTCACAAGAAAATCCTCGGGTGGTGCGACGTCGATTTTTTCAAGATATATTTTCTATTAATGTTTTGGGCGGCAATAATCAATGACAGATTAATTGGGCCGATTGAAATTCCTGCTCGGTTAAATGCAACTGAGTATCTGAATTTTTTACAAACCCACCTTGAACCCATTCTGGATAATCTCCCACTAAATATTCGACATCAGCTGCACTTTCAGCACGACGGAGCGCCAGCCCATTATGGCGTTAATGTGAGAAATTGGCTAAATGAAAGATTTCCGGGTAGATGGATAGGAAGAGGTGGTCCCATACCGTGGCCAACTCGATCTCCGGATTTAAATCCATTAGATTATTACTTTTGAGGCCGTATAAAAGATATGGTATACGCTACAGAAGTTGACAGTGCGGAAGAGTTGCGTGAAAGGATACGTTTGGCAGGGAATGAAATACGGTAAAATAATTTTGAAGTAATGCGAGCTTCACATGCAATTACCCGTAGAGCCAAAATGTGCCTTCGTTAGCAAGGCAACGTTTTTGAACACTTACTTTAAATGTTGTATAAATTGATATTTTTAGTAGAATTTTTGTTATTTTTAATAGAATTTTTGTTATTTTTATTAGAATTTTTAGTAGTATAGACAAAAACAATTTTTGAAAAGCATTTGTTTATCGTCGTCATTTTGACCTATTTTAAGTCATCCTTAGAAAAATAAAAGTAGATACTTCACGTTAAAAAGCTTAAAATTATTATCAAATAGCATTTGCAATAATTAAAAGTAGAGGTAACTAATGATTTCTGCTCTAACTCAGTCAAACTTCATATTTTCAAGAAATTACCAGCTATTCTTAATTTCAAATACAGTTTTGCTATAATTTACGATATTTAACGTATCTGACTTATTTTTACCACCCTAAGGATTACCCTAAAAGAGTTTAAACGTCGGCAGTTAAAGAAATAATTTCTCATCAATCATTTTAATGGGCAAAAGCCAACCAAACCATTAAAAAAAACAATTGATTATAAGTTTAAATACTATTTAGTTTTACCATTTAAAATATAAAATAAAATATAAAATAAACATTAAATTAAAGCTAAATACATTTCTTTAGTGACCGGTTTTCCAAACCTGAAAAAAATTCTGATTCCACAGGCCTGCTAATTATTGTTTGCACTTTCGAATAAAATAATATGAACTTATCATAAAATTTTCAAATGCTTTTTTCTTGAAAATGGTGCGTCCTAGCGAGATGCAACAAGAGTAGCTTTATTGTAACGAAAACATTGGGTTTTCAAATTTTTTAGTCAAAAATGTTAAAAACTGACAACAAAAACACTTAGGGCAATTTTACCTTAAGCCCCCCCCCTAATTTACCCATCTATGAAGATGATCAAAAACTAAGATTAAGTCCATTACATAGAGCGTAAAAAGGTAAGCATTTGTACTGAATTTAATTTAGTTACCTTTAAGCGTTTAGAAAATATTTACAAAAATGTGTCATCAGGACTTCACTTTAAACACCCTGTATCTCGGAAAAGAAACGTTTTCGGACCTATGTTTATATGAACTTTTATTTTACTCCTATTTTAGGATTTAGATTACGCTGTTAAAATATGACCGTCTAATTTCGGGACACCCTGTATATATATACAGCATGAAATATAGCATGAAATATACTAACATTTTCCAGACTATCAAAGTCAAACCCTTATTGTGTTTAAAATAATCGCCACGCCAATTTGCAAATTTTAATCCAAGGTAACTTGATTATTTTAAATGGGACTACCAATTTTTTTTTTATTTCAGTACATGCAGAATTCGATTACCTTTCTAATGATAAAAGTATATTGATATTTGTTTTTCACAGATTTCTTTTTATTTAAAAAAATCTAATAATTCACAGTATTTTTTAATTTTTAAAACTTTTTGTGACATTAGAAATTAGTTAATAAAACTCTTTCTAGTTTTGCTCAAGTCGTTCTAAATTTAAGTGATAATAATGGCACATATTTCCCAAAATGAAATAATTGATATGATTTTCATTCTCGAAGAATGCTCTAGAAATCCGTTTTTAGCAACTCATGTTAATAAAAAAAAGATATCCTGAACGAGAACGTCATCCAAGAAAAGAAAAATTTAGAAATCTCTTGGACAGGTTTATTGCAACAGGAAATGTTTCTTATATCCAAAAACAAGAAAGAACTAAAATTGTTGTAAATGAAGAAAATTAAACTAATATTTTAACTGCAGTGGTAGAAAACCCTCATACCAGTGTAACACTTTTTGTTCCCTTTTTGAGATGGTATCCATAGGGAAACGAAAGATTACAAGAGCACGGCAGTTCTATAGTCTGGAAGCAGGGTTCGTGGGTTCTGAAATTTTTTAATAGTGGACGCCATTTAATTTTGATGTTATAGAAACTAAAAAAACAAAGACTTAATTAAAACAACTATTTTTTTTCTACAAATTCTTTAATTTCCTCCAGGCGAACAAATAAAAA